TACATGCGCCGTACATCTAACAATGTATACATGTACCATACATGTACATCTAACACAATGTATACATGCGCCGTACATCTAACAATGTATACATGTACCATACATGTACATCTAACACAATGTATACATGTACCATACATGTACATTTACATGTACATATGTATACATGTACATAATGTATACATGTACATCTAACATATTGTATACATGTACAATACGTACATGTATTTCTAACATAATGTATACATGTACCATAGGTACATTTAACATGATATATACATGTACCATACATGCACGTACATGTAACATAATTATAATATGTATACATTATGTTAGATGTACGTGTATGGTACATGTATACAGTATGTTAGAACATTACAAAACATGCCTCTCTATGCTATGAGAGCTGCGAGCTGCGAGCTGCAAGTTGAAAAATAACAATGCGTCCAAGCGAATAATCCAGCGAACAATGCAAATTAAACATGCACTCAATGCAGAGCAAACTCTGGCTCTTGACACTGCCGACGTACACTGTGCTTGCTGAAAGGGTCAGAAAAGAAGCCAACCGCTGTGCACAAACTACAAAAATAGAGCTCTCTATATTTTTATAATCCAAGTGCCTGTGTGCGTGCGTGCGTGCGTGCCTGCGTGCGTACGTACGCACATGTATGTATTATATATTAATACGTTTTTATATAATTCATTATATTACACGACGAAAGTCGTTGTATTTGTATCGAAATTAATATATAATATAATAATAATATTCCCATTAAATCGCACCAAGTCTTATGTGTTGTTTGATCCAATAAATGCCAGGCGATTTAAATAATTGTGTTTGTTCAAATTAATTACATCTGTTACGTTATTACGTTAACGGAGTTATGTGTAACAAAATTTCTGTATTTTATAATTCATATATAATGCTTATTACGTGCGTGCGTGCATTCATACATATTTATATGTTTAATTCTGCTTTTCGTTGGAAGAGCGTTTGCTAGATCGTTCTCCCTCCCTCACACTCCAGGGCCGTAGGCTAAGCAAATTCTTAGGGGGAGGGGGCAAAATTTCATGACTCGACTGTGTAATGGTGGGCGATGGGCGCAGCTCTTGATCGACGTCCATAGTGTGGTAGGGGTATGTCTGAGACAAGGCTTTTAATTCAAGTGACCAAAAAAATCACGTTAGGGTTAATTACGATTATTATATTAGCTAAGCTTATTTTTTAATTTTGCTCTAAAATCTAGGGGGACGGCTGCCTCCCTTGCCCCATTGAGGCTACTGCCCTGCACTCCCTTCCTCGCGCGCTATCATATGCACGTCCTGCAATCTTGCAGGCTGGCGAGATAGACTGGCGCACGCTTCCCTACAAGCCGACGCAGCGTCGCACTGTCTACAACGAGACCGTCGGCAGTCTATGGCCGAAGACGGAGGTGGTGGTGCACCTGAGAGCGGTCTATGCGTCCGGAGAGGTGTACGAGTGGCCGGACGATGACCGCTTCTCCTTCGAAACGATAGGTGAGAAATTTTCATGTCCATGAGATTTATTCTTAGGTAAATCACGAGGGAAGTGAACATACGTACAGGAACGGCGCGCATTTTCCAATTATCGATTATTGATTAAACGATGGCTGCCGTAGAAATAGATGAGTATTTAGTTATATTTGTGTAGCGCCCCCTATGTGTAGAAACGATGGCCGATTCTAATTCAAGATGATAGGCTGGTGCTGCCACGAGTCTATGTTCGATTTGTAGCGCCCCCACTGGCGTAGCTAAGGGGGGGCACAAGGGGGCCATGGCCCCCCCTGTTGATTGGCAAACAAAACCAAAAAAAAAATTTTCCTTGCCTCTCACGCGTCTTTACAGGACTGGTACTTCTGCATCTGCTGAACGAACATTCTCTAAAATGAGCATTGTCAAGTCTAAACTTCGTTCTACAATGACCCAGCCACGATTCTCTGCTCTCATTCTCCTTTTCGTTGAACAGGAGTTAGTGAATGACATTAATGTCAACGAAATCCTCAAAATGTTCTGTGCAAAATCGACGAGAAGACTTGACTTTGGATTTTGAGATTTCTGCAGCAGACAAAAACATGACTAAAAGAAAGGAGATAATTCTTCTTTGCTCAGATTTGTGTTGTTGCAAGTTGGCTTTGATTGAATTTTATGGTTCTGAACTCTTATTGACAGAAGAAAAGAAATGGAAATGCTTTGTGAATAACTTTGATATATTCGAACTTATAGACGGCCATTTTGGCATCCACCTCGGTTTTTATTTCAAATCCGATTTCAACACTATTTTAAGTAACTGTTCTCTATCAGGGGAGGCAAAAACAATTCTTTTCATGGTAAATTTCCTTTA